CGACGTGATTCGAGCGGATGACGCGTTAAAGGTCGCCCCGTCGGGACCGCCGGAAGGTCGTCGAGTTACGGTGAATCGGTTGGCAAACGCGTCTACCGTTTTTCTCGATTTTTCCCCCGGTTTCCCGGTCGCCGATCGCAATCTTCGCGTCGCGCGGGGACAGTGTCGACCGAATCGCGTGGGCCGAGAGGTCCTCCACGGTTCGACCTTTGCCGGTTCCGTTCCGCCGGCGAGCCTCGATTAAATTCGAAAAGCTGGAACGGAGGAGGCGGGGGACGGGGAAACATGAAAAGTGAGTCGGAGCTGTGCGACGAAGGGAACCAGCGGCCGGAGGAGGCGAGCCAGTCGGACGAAGACGACGAGAGCGAGCAGGATGCCCAGGACGAAGAGTAAAAATCGCGCCACTAACAAAAACGCTCGTGCCCGCGTGTCGCGCGTGTGCTCGTCGCTCTGCGTCAGGTTTCCGGTCCCCGTTCCGAACGCACGTTTACGCTCGCTGCGCACCGTCCGCACGCTTAGGGTAATTCCCGGTGAGATGGCCCGGTCTCGTTTCCGCACCGTCGCGTAGTTTTCAGTTGCCTTTAGTTCTATACTGTGTCTCGTGGCTTCTTTAATAGATTCACGCACGTTCGTTCTAGTAAACAGAAATAATGATGTTTCATCTGAGTGGAGAATTAGTTCTTTGTCGTGTATCTCGTTCATAGGAAATTCATTGGATAATTTGCCTCTATTTTGGTTCCACTTTGTTCCACTGCTCCTGGAGAACTACGTCGTTTACGGAAATCGCGAGGATTGTAGATTCAAAGCGTATTACAATGCTTATTCGCGTGATTGCACGAGTCAAAGTAAATCTAACGTTAACCCCTTGCCCTGTGATATCTCCGTATCTATGCTCGATGAGCTACTTGATCGTTGTTAATTTAACACTTCGACTGCAAGTAAGAACTCGTCAAAACTCGCACGCAGTTGGAACTGTTTTCTTAATGAAGTAACAACTGAGACGCGAGAATTTTTATTTTCAAGCAGGAAACTTCGCGAATCTGATTCGATGCTATAGGAGAAGGGGTTAACTATTCTTGCCGTATTCACTTTCTTGAATATATCCTCTTCTCGTCAAGTGTTAACGACATTCACGGTGCAACAGTTTATAAAAAAAGCGGGCCATCTCTCCTCGACTTACCCTACACTCTTTTAAGCCGAGACTACACCAACGCTTCGCGTAGCACTCGCGGTTGACGGTACGGTGAAATCGAATGAAAATTTATTGATCCTTCGAGTACTGCCAGCGATTGGAGGCCGGAAACTTTATTGGATCCGATCTGACGGGCGAATTGTCTGTTCCGTTCGCGAGCGGATGAATGGAAATGAAATACGATGTTGATGGAACCCGATTGGTTTTGCTCGTTGACTACCGATCCTGATCTGACCGTACCGTCGAACTCTAGTGCGAATCGAGTTGCACGTCGAGTTTTCTACGCTCAAGTGTCAATCGTATACTTGAATGCAACTGACCGAATACACGATCGTTTGAGAGCGTGTCGCACAAGGTTCCAAGTTCGTCGATTTAGCTCGCATTACGATATACGGATCTCTCGGGCAGAAGAGCGACGTGTAAAACGATCGTGTAGTCTTGGCACACTGTGCAGGGTAGCGAGTACGCGGTGTCAACGGTGAACAGTCGATTTTTACGATGCTCGATGGTTTTCTGTTGACACGATACAGACGATTCTGTTTCCACGTGATTCTGCTTGAACGCGACCACCCTAACGGAAGCAGATACTCTAAATCAAAATATCCAAATCTCAAATCCTATTGAATATCTAAAATCGATTAACACTAGAACTACCAGTCAAAATGACTGGTGTCGATTGTTTTGTTTAGCAATTATTGATATCTTCGAAGCATTGAATATTCGAAATGATTTTGAAAATAAATAGTTTCACTAGAGTACTATAATGAACGTCTGAAGAAACTGAAAATAATCTATTGTTACAATTTTTATAGGAATTGCATATTAATCGTATTAAATGCTCGGTAGTTCTAGTGTTAAGGAGGAACTCTAAGAAACAAATTCCTCTGATTCGAGCTTATCGCTGATTGCAATTTACGAATGCCCCTGTGACGATCGATCGACTGTTTCACCGCTGCACCACGGATTTGACACCCTGTGTAAGCCAGAGACGAGTAAGATGATACTTAAATAGCAAACGCGAAGAGGAGGATCATTCGATTATCCTACTCGTCTCTGGCACTCACGCTGATCTTCTGTTCATAGGAACTTTCATTTCGAATCGAAGCTTCGAAGGTAACATTTTTCCTCGAGAAGAAGCCGATCGATTGACTAATAGAGAAAGCTTTCGTCGGTTACTCCCGAGGAACAGTGTTTACAAATGACGCTCCAGCGAAGTATTTGTTAGTCACTTGGCCGGCTGGTTAGGGTAATTGCAAAATCCGCATTGGCACGGCCGCGACGCGCGGTTCCGGCCAAAACACACGGTCACGCCGAGTAGAAACGTAAATTACCAACATCGCACCGCAGCAATATTTATTGCCAATAAATCCTGCGATTGTTTAAACGGCCCCTGTAACGCGGCACTCGTACTCGACGTCGATCGCGATTTAAACACGGCGACATCGATACGCGACTAATCGAAGCGAAATTCGTTTGTTGCCGTCCGACACGAATTCCGCGTTGCCAACAATCGTCGAACGGTTGCAACATATCTCTCCCGAGATTTCCATTGAATCCGTTTAACGCGACGATCGCAGAAGTCGGCATCCATAAAGATATCGCAGAACCAGAGAATGTTCTCGAAGCGAAATTTACCGAATCCGGATACTCGTAAACTCCTTTTTTTAACTTCGCATCTCGTGGACCCACGAAAATTCGACTGACTCGACGTATCACCGACGAGATGTTCAAACTGAGGATCGAAGAAAAAGCTGCTCGATTCAATCTAAAATTCAAATCCAAATCGCAGAAATCCCACTGACACAGCAGTCGAAATTGAGTCTCGCGAGTATCATGTCTTTAACACTAAAACCACCAGAGTCAAAATTCCTGTTCTTTTATTTTGCAATTACTAACCCTTTGCACTCGAAAGGTGATTCTCAGTCACCACTTGATTTGATACGGCAAAACTATGAAGTTGAATATTTACTATTTTAAATTAAACTTTGTATTGCAATGTGAAATACTTAAATAAAATAACATTGTTGCTTAAATTATCTGTGAATTATCGTTAACTTAGTTTCAATGTCGTCTTTATCTCATCAGGCAATGTCCAAATATTTCTACTGAAAAACTTCTGAGTGCAAAGGGTTAAAAAGATAACAGATTTTCCTCCGAGAAATGATTAAAGAACCCGATTCAGCAATGCGCAAATTAAACGATAAATCAATTCAAGTCTCGATAGATGAAGTCGCTGTAGAGGAATTTCAAAATATCAATTCAACTGCTCGGTAGATTCAGTGTTAATAAACATCTCGTCGCCTGGTCGCGTTGTCTGGAAACCAGTTCTTCCGGCGATGATCAATTAATTCAGATTTATTGCGCGCGGCGCGGACGCTCTCGAACGAACCGATGATTCGACCGTGGCTGTCGAATGGGGTCCAATTAAACCGTGGGGTCCAATTAAAAGTCGCGACATCTTTGTAAAGGATATCGCCGGACCCGCCGCGGGACAAAGTAATTGGCCGGCGACGTTAATTATTAATCGCAATAACGAACGCTGTCCCGCGGGGCCGGGCGTCCAACGATCGGCCGCGATTTATTTCCGCGCGTCGCTCGTTATTCGGTCGCGTTAATTGACCTTGGTGTCCGACGCGACGCGAGCCGCTTCCCGACGTTCGGGTTTTCATTCACGCGACATTGGCCGGCGAGAAAACGCCGATCGCGATAGGAGATTAACGCGCATTGTGCCAGAGAGCTGGCCGCGCGCCAATGGACTGTCGAACGAACGCGCGCCGCGCCGGTTCTTCCTGCTTCCCGGCGATTTCGAAAGAGATCCGTGATCGCCTTCTGTTCTCTATCGCAGATCCGACGAGTCTCGCAGGAGACGAATAACACCGGCCGCCCTGACCCTTTGGTTAAGTACTATGATCGCAATGGTCTTTGGTTTTCACCCGTGCTACCCCCATTTTGGTTCTTGTTGGCCCTCTGATCCCCCGAGCTCCGTTTCACCGATTTATCTTCCCGCTCGATCGCTTTCGTGGGACGAAGGGAAGACTGGTTTCGTTGAATCACGCGTACAAAGAATTATTTAACACGTTGAATGCCATGGGGGTCACCGGTGACCACCGAGCAAATCGAATTACTATAATTCACTCAGTGAAACGATGATTATTCGCATACATTTCTATATTATGAATAATGCTGTCCATTGCGGTGACACTTAGATTGATGAACCTGCAATGATAATCATCCAATTCAGTCAAATGATTTAATATTGTACTTTTTCCATTTTGTGGATTTTGCTCTATGAAATCGTGCGGCGTTCAACGTGTTAATCAGTTAACTGTGGAATTAATTGGAAAAACCTCTCGTTCTGCGCGTAATAAAGTAAAAAATGGAGCGTGTACTCGTCGATCGCGGGACGAATGCACGTAGGGTATATTTTAATGGAAGATCGAAGCGAAACAAAGAAGAATTACATGTTTATGTGAACAAATAGAGAATTCATCGCCGAAAGAATTAGTATCAAACACAGTTAACTGGTTAAGCAGCTCAGTCTTCAGATTCCGAAGAATTCCGAGGGAATTCGTTGCATTATCCCGTGAGTCTATTTATCTTTTAGAAGACACTGCGATTTGATGAATCTTTACGTGGACGCTGTCCACAGATTCTCCTAGCGATTTTAAAATTAGTAGCTATAAATCTCCGAGGGAAACTGAATCTCGGAAGCTCTGTCGTTGAAAGATCGGCCGTGGAGATTCCGTCGCTTCGTCTTCCAATTTTTTAGATCTTCCGTTGCATTACACAAAGACGTATCCAGTTTCCTTTATAATTAGTTTCTCGAGTGATGTTCGGAATATTCGTTCCCGAGATCCTCGTAGACTCGAGGGTGAGAGGGCCAATAAACAGCCAAGCTGTGGTTACCAACAGCTGGCGCCGGATTTGTCCTCCCCACTGTGCAGAATCCGACGCGACAGACACGTTTTTTTTCTCAGCATGTATCTATATACATAGTCTCATCACGGACGATCGCATCGACTTATGCGACGAGGAAGAGGAAACGTTGAAATTTCCCTGTGCTCGTCATGTGCTTTTTTCCCTCCTAGCCTGCTTCGTAGTCGCGACCAGTGTTGGGCAAAAGCGATTTAAATCGAGGAATAATTAACATCGTTGTTCACGGGTAACGAATGGAATTTATTCGTTATTCCGAACAATCTTTGTCTAACGCTGCATATGATGACACGCGAAGCGGAAATGACTGCCTAGTTAGCAACCCAACTCGTATGCGAATAAGTGACGAATGGTAAATAACGAATGAAATCTCCCACACTATTAACGATTGTTCAAGTTCTCTATGAAAGTTTTCCTATTAAATTAACGATAAAGTAGATCCACTCACAGTCATGACAGAAATGAGTGATTTGTCTCGAATAGTAAACAACCGAGCAACGATTGACACGTGCCATGTGTACCATTTGTGATACACGGCCAATTTTTCTGAGGAAATATCTGTTGAGAACATGTAGCAAAAGACGGTACACATTGGAAGCAGCGAAAACGCGAAGAAATAATATGAAAATATAAAAAGTCACCAAAAACTGGAATGCAAGTTAACCCTTTGGACTCCAGAAGTTTTTCATTAAAAATACTGAACATTTTTTAATGAAATACCAACGACATTCTTTCAAACTTAACGAGAAATCGCGCATAAATTATAGAAAGAGGCTGTTTTATTTTAATATTTCACACGTCGATGCATTGTACAAAGTTTAATATTAAATGTCAAACTCTATAATTTTGCTGTATCAAATCAGTTGGCGACTGAGAGGCTACGAAGTGCAAAGGGTTAATGTTTGATTGCAAAAATCAGTGCACTGATAAGCAAGGTACAACCGAAATTTCCGGTGGCACGGAGTGTATTAATCGGTCGTTCGTTATCGTTATTCGAGAGAAAGTCTAATTCGACTAATGCCCAACATCGGTCACGACCCGCCCGGGATTCCGCGCGGGCTCGCGCTTGCCGCCTGCGCTTGACCCGCCAACCCCTATCACGATCGCGCCCCCGACCCGATAATTGAGCTTTCATTGTTCGGTTTTGCGGTCTAGTGTGATGTCACCGGGCAACAAAGGCACGGACGAGGCTGCGAACGACGCGTTGTTGGAGAAGCTCGCCACCTACGCGGCCAAGCCGCACAGCGACGCGTTCAGGAACGCCGCGGCCAAGATTCACGCGCGTGTCACGTCCACAGGTAACGCACCATTGTCTTCGGCTCTTAGATTAGCTAATCCTCTTCGAATTACACGTTCGCTCTCGGGAAAGCGGCGCGTCACAAATCACTGAATAATTTGTCAGCGGCACCAAAGCCTACAGCTTTACACTTTCGAATGACGAATCGCCTGGGACGATCGTTTGAAAGTCGTATCGTTGCAACAATCGTCCGCATCGTCTGGCTTTTCGGCATCGATTAATATTAACGACATCTCGTTGATTTCCTAAGGAGATTGGAGCAGCAATTGCTAGAGTAGACGCGAAGCACCGCGTTTCCGTGACACTAAACATGTAATTTGAGTGTTTCAGGACGCCAGGTGCCTCGCGAGCAGCCGGCGTTAACGTTCGAGCGCGATCGTGGAAGGTAATTCCTCCGGGACACGGTTGTTCCGTTCGCTCGCGCACGCCACGGGACGTTGCCGTGAAAAAGAAAACGGCATCGCGCGATCCTCGAATGCGGCAGCGAACTTCTAAACGAGCCCGAGCGAGATTGGACACTTTTAAGACGGGCTCGTGCCGTTCGATCGCTATTTTTATCACGAACACGGTTCGCCTCCATTTCGCCGGGGCTAATCGTCGGGGAACTTTGCAGAAAACTCCGTATCGCGCGCGCCGCCTCCCCGAGCCCGCCATTGTCCGACACTCTCGACACATTTCCGGCCCCCGTTTCGCAATCCGCTCACCGTGTCGCAATCGGCGCCGAACCAATACGAACGCGGTCCCGTTCGAGCGGACACGTCGAACCCGAATACACTCGACGAAACGAACCAGCCCGCGGAACTAGTCACGTAAGAATCCTCGAGCACGCGCTAACTTTCTTCCTCGAATCGCATAGAAAACGGAGAAATCCCGGATTCGGGTCACTTTCGAGCGTAACTTCTCTCCCTTCCTTCGTTTTGCAATCCGGAGCACTCGTTTCACCGAATCGAACATGCGATTACTCGCGGACGAAGTACGGAATCCGCGAAGCGCGCGGTGCAAAGTCCGGGGAAATGGAGGATGCATCGGCTGAAGCTCCTATCGCGCGATAAACGCGTCGCTTAATCACCATCGCGTGCGGCTCGGCCATCTTCGACCGATCGGCACCGGCTTTCGGGAAAACGCGTAAATTTAGCTGGGTCGCGCTTCAATCTCCGTGTGCCGGGTCAACTCTGCTAATCGGAAATGAAACTCGACGGAAGTCCAACGTATGGCGAACCGATTCGCCCATTCGCTGCCAGCATTTCTCTCGATAGCAGTCTCTTACAGCATTCTATCGAATCAAACGTGTCGCCTTTGCGAACTACGAGTAACAATCGAAAAACAGTCTTCGCGACTTCCTCCGTTATACTCTTCTCCGCGCGAAACATTGATAATCGCGAGTTAGCGACGCCGGTAGCGAATATCGAAGCGTTGACACTAAGATCCGAGGACGTTCGGTGTGCAGAGTCGATCGTGTCGATCCGCGAGCCACAATTCCGTCGCGCGCGATCGCACGCTTTCGGCCGCGTCGCGGAAACGCGCGGGAAAACGCGTCGGGACTCGTCTCGCGGAAACGGAACCGCACCGCGGCGGTCCCGGGGACTGGCGAACAGGTGTGCGAGTGCGGCCGCAGCACGCTCGGCGTCGTTATTTTCGAAAAGCCGGCTGCCCGCGTCGGCCGCGGTTGCATAAGGGCTTTCGGTGCCGTCTGATAGATCGCTTGGACGACGGCCAAGCCGACGGCACAATGCCGAACGCGATACAGATTGCGAGTCCGTCAACGGTGCTCGAGTGAATCGCGGTCGTGCCAATTTGATAAGGGCTTTCTGTCTCCGGCGGTCGATATTTCTGCATACGCCGAAAGTCGTCGCGCTGAGTCATCGGTTCTCGCGCGGAGCCTCTCGTCCGCGTTGAAATTTCCGACGCGAGCGGCGGCTGCTGGATTTTATTATACTCATTGTATTGGGGCGCTTTTGGCACTTTCACTGCCGAGCGAACGCGTCGGAGCTTCTGTGTAGGCGAACGAGTTTTCTTAGTAAAGCAGGAATTAGGAGGTCAAGGTTCTGTTGAACGATTGCTATAGTATCTCTCTTGTGTCTTATGCTTCCAACGATATTCGGTTCTTTCGATACGCTGCTAGAGAAACGGATGTTTCACCCTTTGCACTCGGGAGGTGTCACCACTTGATTCCATACAGAACTATAAAATTCGATATTTAATATTATACAGAAATATCTTTCATCTCATCATCGAATGTTGAAATATTTCTAGTGGAACTGCCGAGTGCAAAGGGTTAAAGTTATATAAAGAATGGCGTTGCCTGAATTCAGGTGGTAGTTAGCGTTAAAAGGGAGCCGTCGCAGGAGCTAGGGGAGCTATCGATTCGTCGTTGATCAACGGAGTAAATCAAACTTTCGAGATGCAATGTAGCTTATCAGCTTTGCGAAATGTAGCTAAGGTTCCAGCAGAGATCGCGATTAGTTGTGCGTAATGCACGTGCGAGTTTCGATGAAAATCACAGAAATGATTTACACGTGTTTACGTAAACGACAGCACGCGTTACTTCTCCATTTCGTTTTGAGAGATTCGTTTGGCTACAGTTACAATTACTTTAATGTGTCAATGTTAATAATAAATGTCGCTCGCGGAGGATTCTGCCAACTGTCTCCTACATCGCTATCCGCTTCTGTATAAATAATGCTCAGGGCAGATTTCTCAGAATATGCTCCGAATACATTTCGAATCCAAAAGATTCGGGAATCGAAAGCGAAACGCGGCATTTCGAATTGAACGAAACAACATGGAACCTTCTGGTCGCGTGTGCTCCTCCAAAAATCGACGCAGCATAGGTTACACCGCCAGGAATCGGTGATTAACCCTTTGCACTCGAGAGGTGACTCACAGTCACCACTCGATTTGACGCAGTGAAACTTGAAAATCTGATATTTAATGTTGAACTCTGTATAATGCCTCGATACATGCAATATCGGAATAAAATAGCTTCGTTCCCCAATGTACTTGTGATTTCCCTTCGAGTTAGTTACGAAGAATCTCGTCTTTGTCTCGTAAAATACTGCTAAATATTTTTAGCGAGAATCGTCCGAGTGCAAAGGGTTAAACGGTCGCTCGGTGGAATTACTGAATTATTCGTGTGAATTCCGAGAGGGAGAACCTGGGGGATGTTTTAACGGACACGGGGACGTCGCGGCCGATCTATAGTTCTGCCCGAGCAGCCCGTTTGGCATGAAATATTCAATGTCCAGTTAGTTTTTGTGTGCGGTGTTCATGGCATTGGGAACGATTGGCCTTGCGTCAACTTTGAAACGGGAGCCACGCGTTTCGCCAATGCACCAGAGCGCGCCCGATGCATCGGGCATGGAGTGCATTGTTACCAGCACCTGCTCGCCCCATTACTTATCGCGACCGGGACGTTCGACCGTTTGGCAACGCGAACTCTAGATCGGCCCGTCGCAGATTTACACAGTGCTCGGATGTCGTTTTGACGTGGCGCGCCGCGATGGCTCCTTGACAACAGATACCACTGTTTTCGCATTACTGCCATGTTCCTTGGGTCTTCCGTGACCCAACCGTGACTTCGTTGTCAGCATCGATTTAATAGGAGCCCCGGTTTGTCGAGGATAGTATCGGAAGATTAGAATTAGTAGATTGTTATTAGATTACGCGCTAGGTTTTTAGCGATATTTCACATTTGCAGGAAAATTAGGACCGTAATTAACTGTAAATTTGAAGTTTACCAATTCGGGGATCGATATCTTGGTAAATATCGATTGAACTACTCTCTTTGTTATTCGCGTCGTTTCTCTTGCCCTTTATTGCATGTTTATGATTGCATTAAAGTTTCTCCAACTGTTTCGTAGAAATCATTCTGTTGTCTTCATTGTCGTTTACTTCGGGAATCTTTTATTGTTCACTTCGCATCGCGAGTTCGTAGTAACGATTGTTATTTTTCAGATCGGCGGGTACGCGAGCGCACGCTAGATAAACTATGGCGCAAGAATTCCAGGTCGATGGAAATATTCGTCGCGACGCTGAAGGTGGGTGACACTTGGTTCGTTCGCTGGTTCTTCCCTCGATGAAGGCTCCGGTCACCCCCTCGTCACGCCCCTATAATTCCATCGCGGACCGTTCATTACCGTGCGCGAAATTTACAATTGGGCGTGACTTCGGACCATAACTTTTCGACTGTCGACGTTTACTCGGCGCATCTCGAATCCAATTAAACGGGTATGCAACCTTCGGAGTCCAAACGAAACGAATGACCACTATGTTTTTTATCCGTACGAGATCGATGAATTTTCTGCTGAATATTTCACGATAACATCACTTTTATTACGCAAAATTACAGTGATAGAGCTCTTCAAACCGCAACGCATGGTCCTCCGTATCCTATAATTCGTATAATAAATATCTCAATTCTTTAATCTCTGTGAACGCTTAAAGTTAACCTTTCCATCGAAAAACCGTGTTGATTCGCTCAAAAACCAAAAATCGAGGAAACTAATGTTCTAGCTTCCGAAATGATTACACAACAAAACGAAGAAACGAGTAAATCCTTTGTCAACTACAAGACAATACTGTTTATTCCATCAAAATCGAGAAAAATCAGGAAAGATCGACTTAACATTGGCTTCCCAGCGGCCGGTATCTCGAACACATCGCGATTGCCTCGTTCCCTGAAATAATTGACAAATTGCACGCTACATCGTGAGTGATCTATTTCCGTGTGAAAAACTCTGACATTTTGCAACGGCGGGCAACAAAGAGAGACGTAAATACACAGCGAAGAGATTGCTGAACGTTCCACGCAGAAACCCTTAGCTTCCCGCCAGCTTTGCACCAGCGGAGAAAGAATCGTGGAAACCAGGCATTTCCTTTTTCCTTTCCGTTTCGGACGGCGAGATTGCATAGCCCGTTAATCGACACTTCGCGGATCCAATTAACCACGGGATAGCGTGGCTAGGTAGCATCAACGCGCCGCGGCGACTCGCGTTGTCTATCTCGTCGACGGGGCGCGTTTCCCGCAACATGCGAGACCGAGGAACCGCTCGTTCCATTTTCTGATAAGTGTTGCACGCACGCACGCGGCCTAATTATCAACGCCCGTGGCATTTGCGCGCGTCAACTATCTCCCGATCGCTCGAGCTGCTTCCAATTTTAACGCCTCGAGTCCTTCGCGTTTCCGTTTTCCATTTAAGGCGAGAACAATATTCAATTCAATTCTGGTTCGTACTCGATCGCCGTTTCCCTCGCGATCGTGTTCGCCGCGAGCGCCTGAACGCCGGCAGTGTGCTTTATTTATCATCCGCGAATGACGCGTAGATTCGATGAATTTACAACGGACGCCGCTGCCAGAACATCGAACGGAGAGAGTTCGATACAATTCGGAATTGTTCCCGTCGCATTCGGTTATCGGCGATAAAGCGCTTTAAAGGGACGAACCGTTGAATCCCGTCCAATTGTCGAACTGTCGGAAGACCGAGTGTCAAAGATCGATTAGCTTCGGCGCGTTCCAACGAGGAAATCTGTTGCAGAACTGCAAGGACCACGTGATCAACTACAGCATCGCCAGCATACTGCGGGAATGCATATCGTACCGTATCCCGAAGGCGAAGAACAAAGGGAACAACAACAAAAGTGCCACAAGTAATGACTGTTGATTTATCGCGAATTAAGGAACTAGCGATCAGTCGAGTCGATTGATTTGTATTCTCTCGTGCAATCGGCGCAAGCGAGACGAGGCGTTTATCGAGACCGATTGATTTAGTGTTAAGCTATGGGCTATTCAATCGATTTCTTTCCTAACGTCTCGTAAAAGCAGAAATCCGAGATGGATTAGCGTCTCGTGCAGTAGTTTTCCAGTGTTAGCACTGCTCGCTGAAACGCCGGTTTTAGTTCGGAACAAGCTGAATGTTGCATGATCAATCGAGCCCGCCACTCGATCGATCCCCTAATTCGCTATCCTTCACAGAATCCAGCAGCCGACTGATGCAACTGGTCAACTTAGGCATCACGCAAGTCCTAGTTAAGCTTCTAATTAATCTGCAACATGCGGACACCATTCCGAGCGAAGTTCTCGCGCACGAAGTGCTCTGGATACTGGGCCAGGTAAGCGTTCCTCTTCCTCGGAGCCTCCTCGCAGCTAGTTCCCTTCTCGGAGTCCCAATCGATCGGTTCTAACGAAACTTTTCACGGATATTCCAGGTGGCCCAGGCGGACCAGAAGTTCGCATCGAAGATGAAGACGCTGAACACCATCAAGATATTCCACGCGCTGCTCAAGCAGCATTACAACAACAGCAAGCTCATCTTGCCTCTGCTGTCGATCCTGAAGTCTCTCGCCAGAAACTGTACGTGAATCTATTCCTTCACGATATCCTTACTTGTAGCATCACCTGCTGAACACTCTCTTCTTCCCAGCTTATACTCTGCAAGTGTTAGTGAAGGACGGAATCGCCAGCACGTTCGAGAAGACGTTCGTGTCCATCGGCTACAGGCCTCACCTGAAATTGAGGTTGCTGTTAGAATGCTTCAAGTACTTCACGACGAACAGTACGTGTCTATTTCATTCGATTACTTGATCATCGAAAGAACAGTCTGGTAGTCAGAAATTCTCATTACCTATACATCGTGAAACTTTCATTCAAAGTTCGCGAGCCTCAGTTCAGGTTTCCTCTCGAGACACAGAGCACAGAAATCCTCTAAATCAATGCTCTCGCGGGAAAATCAATAGAGACTAACGACTCGCTTCGATCGCAGAGCTGCTGTGCACGAAATTCGTGAAGCTGGGCATGATGTACCTGGTGATGCGGATCTTCGAGAGATGGGAGCGCTACGACGGCTACATGCGGCTGAAAATCTGCAACTGTGCGGTGACCACGATCCAGCACCTCTGCGTCACGAGTGAGTTTATTGGCGTCGACCTTTCAGCCGCGGCAATATCCGGCCGGAAGTCGAGTCCGTAGGGTACAGAGTGATAGCTTAAAGGTGATTCCCCGGCGCGTCAGGGACGTGTCGATCGGCCCGGACGCCCTGCAACGATCCCAACGATTCGGTTTTTACCGCGCGGCCCGGCAACCTTTGACGCCGGCTCCGAATGCAATTCCATTGTACGTTTACCGTCCTCCTATCCGGCGATTCATGAAAATTGCTCCAGACGCGTCGACGGGATTACGATTCTAAGCAACGCGCGCGTAAATTTACGACCCTTGGGACTGTTGATTACACCGCGGCCCTACGTTTCGCTCGTTGCAGAAGACGGCAGGAAGGCCATCAAGTGGAACAATGGACTGCAAGTTTTGTACCGGTTCTGCTGCAACTGCCCGGACGACAAAGCCTACGACTGCCTGTTGTCTCGCATCTGCGGCATACTGAATCAGTGCCTGGACAAGGAGCTGCCGGTCCCCGAAATGTTCCCTGCAAGGTGAACCGACTGGTCGAGGCTGCCTTGGATCGGTCCGCGATCCAAGGGACCGTTTACGTGTCGATCGTTTCTTACCAGCGTCGGTTGTTCTCTTTGCGGACACGTTGATGTGTCTTTCACTGAATTCTGTTGTATTATGGAAACGGTAGCGTTGTGGAACGTAGGGTTAGATCAAGATTTTGGAAGAATATGTTATAGAGATTGATTGCCTTTCGACCTCTTGCCTTGCGATGTTAGTGAGTTAGACTCGCAGTGATTTCGAAGAGAATGTAACGGATAATGTTACTCGATTCTTTTGAATTCGAAGGGAATATTATCCTGTTGTTAATTATTCAGGAGAAAGTATCGATCATAGTTGAGAAGCAAATCGTGGAGCAAAGGGTTACTTTGACTGCCAAGTAAACGCTAATCAAAACTTCTAGCAGTCGAAACAGTTGTATAAAGAAATTCAAAAGTCAAGATTCTTCGAAGATCTAGTATCTTTGTTACAGCTTATACATGCAACAGAACTCGTTTCGTTCACGTTACCGAGGAAATTAGTTTCTATAGAAGCTGGTGTCACTCATGTTTGGGTGACGTAGCAAAGTGTTAATAGCGAGGAATTCTGTATGGAAGCATCTTGAAACTTCGAGCATAAATTACCTATGTTATTAACTGTAAACTCTTAACCATGAAGCATCTAACTCTTTACACTGCTCAAAATTCGTTTGCTCGACATTCTCATCGAAATGTCTCCGGAAAGTTTGAAGATCAGGCCAGACACCGGTCACCGGTGACCGCGAAACAGACGCGTCCACCGGATTAGTGTTATCGGAACGAAAAGAAACCAGAAGACGAGCGACTGTTTCGTTTAAGATCGAATTTAGAAATGATCGTGCCGGGACACAGGCCCGGCTCGGCGCGCGCTGACTAAGAACCACGAACGCTCCACTTCTTCTGCCTGCCAGGTCTTTAATCATACATTAAAACTGTGTCGAAAGCGTCCACCTCCCGGGAACTGGACCACTTGCGTAACGCGCGCGCGCGCGTGCGCTTGCTCGCTCGCTCGGTCGCTCGCGTCGATCGGTTATGAACTCGATCAGCCTGAAACGCCGGTGATAAGCGGTTCAATGAATTTTCGCAGATTCGTGTTACCGGAGGCGAACGTCCGGCCGAACAGCGCTGAAAGCGGCAGCGACATCGACAGTCAGGTGCGTATTTTTATCGGGCGGCGTGATGTAACGCGTGAAACGTTACACTCGTGCCGAAACGTCGCGCGTTTCGACACGCGCGGATCTCTTATTCTCTTTCATTCCCGTCGGGATCGTCTTCAGGCACGCTCGACGGTCTTATTCGAGGTATGCTCGACCACGGACCGACTCTGTGTTTCAGGCGAACAGCGTCGCTTCCATGGGAAGGCTGTACAGCGACCTTGACTCCGGGGATGACGAGGAAAGCCAGAATTCGAGGTCCAACGACACTGTTATGCACACGGCCGACGAGGTGGACGAGAGCAAATTCTTCGCCGGCGTGTTCACGTCTCAGAGGACTGAGGAGGAGCTTAACGAGTACGTCGCTGGTCTTTCGTTGGGATAGACGATTAATCGTTGCTTCGGGTTTCCTCGTTTGGCTTTGCAACTTCTCGCTCGACTTTAGGGACAGTTCATTGTACGACTCGGTCGTTGGAACTAAAGCGTCTAAATGTTATCTACAGTCGACTATATCTTTGATAAACTGGGAAATATGTGATGTCACTAGAGATATACAGATTCAACCCTTTGCGGACCAGGGTTTCAAAGTTACTTACCGACAGGTCTAATCTATATAAAGTAATCTCTGCTGTGGTCTCAGCGTTAACTTCTCTTTCAATTTCCTATAGAATCGATTCGAATTCCCAAATCTCCGCGATCCATAGAAGCTCTAGATCTTGTATACGTCTCGAATTTACCAATACTATAGAACCAGCTCACGGTAGCTTTCAATAAACTGGGAAATGTGTGATATCACTAAATTTCAAAGTTACTCACCGACAGGTCTAATCCATATAAAATAAGATAATCTCTGCTAGTCTCAGTGTTAACTTCTCTTTCAATTTCCGACAGAATCGATAATTCCCGAATCTCCGCGATCCATAGAAGCTCTAGATCTAGTATACATCTCAAATGTACCAATACCATGGAAACAGCTCACGGTAGCACGTCGAATCTCTGACAGCTCAAGTCTCTAAACGTCGTCTGTGTCCAGGTACACTGTCTTCTTCAAGGAGCTAGGCAACCTGTCGCAGCTGTGCAAGTCGTCCTCGGAGAAGCCGGAGGCCGCGGATCCTGTGGACAGTAACAAATTGAACGGTCGAGTCGGCAAGGGTAACAGGACCACGATAAAGGACGCGATGAGGGACGGGGCGAGCAAGAACTCGCCGGAAACCGGAGCGACCGGGATAAGGATGTTCGAGGACATGTCGCCTAACCTGACGGACGAGCAGGCGTACTGCGAGCTGGCTGGCAGGGTGAGGAGCATCATCGACTTCACTGGAGTCGCTTACCCGGACTTGGTGGGCGGCGACGCGCTCGGCAGGGAGGAACCGTTGAACGAGAAGGACAGATGGGTCTGTCGCTCGAAGCTCCTGGCCTGCGTCGAGCGTGGTCTTCACGGCGGCACGATGATGCAGGAGGTCGTCTACGACCTGGACGCCGTCGTTAGCAAAAGGTCCGGCAAGGACTGCGAGATAGCGTACAAGAAGATGTGCAACTTCGACGACGTCTCGATAGGGCTGCAGTTCGGCCCCACCAAGTCCTTGTGCTTCTACTCCGCGTTCGAGAGCGGGAACCTGAGGAAAGCTATTCAGGTACAATTCAAGTACCACTTTTAGATCTTTGCACGTTGTATCATGTTCCTAGTGTGTTAACAAGTTCAAGAGTTTGAGGTATCCGACGATTTTCGACTGAAAACAGACGGTATTAGTTTGTCTTGCCAGTAGCATTGATGACTTTCGTCTGGGTTCTCTATGTACATTGGATTCTCGAAATGAGATTGGACAACGCAATTTATTAATCAATCTATTGAATTCTTATTTTATTAATATTCAATCATATTATTAATATATAATCATTTTGAAAGAGGAATAGAAGGCGAGAGTAGATCAAACGTTGCCTCCGTCTCTAGCAATAATCTCTCAAACGCCCACATCTACTTGGCAAATCGAACGAAACGCACCAAGTTCAATTCCCCTCGACGTTCACCGATTACCAAACCCGCATTTTGTCTTTCCAATCCGTTCTCTTGTAGATAGGCCTGAGAGAGTACGATCTGATCCTGACGCCGGACGTGAACAGCGGCTCCAGGCACCAGTGGTTCTACTTCATGGTGCGCAACATGGACGCGAACGTGCCGTACACGTTCAACATCATCAACTGCGAGAAGGCGAACTCGCAGTTCAACTTCGGCATGAAGCCGATCCTGTTCAGCGTGACCGAAGCCGTTCAGGGCAGGCCCGGCTGGGTGCGGACCGGCACGGACATCTGCTACTATCGGAACTACTATCAGCGGCCGGCCAAGGGCCGGAACTACTTCACCATCTCGTTCTCGGTGACGTTCCAGCACGAGAACGATATCTGTTACCTGGCCTACCACTTCCCCTACACGTACACCCAACTGATGGTCAACATTTGGAAGTGGAGCAGGAAGGTCTCGCCTAACACCTACTTCCGTGCGGAGACACTCTGCGAGACTCTGAACGGAAACGAGAGCCCTCTGCTGACTATCACGTCGATGGACTCGAAGAGCAACCCTATCCAGGCGAGTATTCACGTTCGTTTGTAATTTGTACTTTGATAGAACTTCGAAGCGTATTGTTAGCGTATCGTTAGCGTACTGCCAAAGATCCTTGGGCGTTCTGAAGTCTGGAAACTAGTTTCACACTTCGACTGTCGAATTCGGGGACACCGGCGTTTAGATAGACTTAACCCTTTGCACTCGAGGGGCGCAGGAAACTTATAAAATTTTCAATTTAATATTAAACCTTGTGTAATGTAGCAAAGATATCGTTAATATTCAGTCAGAAAGGAAAGAATATTTTTAATGAAAAATACTGTCGAGTGCAAAGGGTTAAATATTCATTTGCTCGGTGACAGGTGTAACTAAGAATAACCATTACGTAGAATTTCGACTTTGTGAAAATGAAGAGGTAGGTTATTATTCTGATTGGTTTCTGTTCAGAACCGGAAAGTGGTATTCCTGACGTCGAGGGTCCATCCAGGCGAGAGCAACGCTTCCTGGGTGATGCACGGGACTCTCGAAGCGTTGTTGAGCAACAACACGTACGCGTCGAGCCTACGCGACGATTATGTGTTCAAGATCGTGCCTATGCTGAACATCGAGGGCGTTGTGAACGGTTGGTGAGTAACACTTGCAAATCAAACGTAATATTACAATTAACGCTAGAACTACCGAGAATTTAATACCGTTGACATGTAATCTCTATGAAAATTGTTACGATAGAATATCCTCAGTTTCTTCGGACATTCATTATAGTATTCGAGTGAAGCTATTGTTAAAATTGTTTCGAATACTGAATGCTTTTAAAACAAAACGACTGAAAGTCGTTCCGACTGATATGGTAGTTCTAGTGTTAACCTGCGGATTATTATGCACTGCATGCAACGAAGATCTACAAAAATTCGTAGACTTCGAGCAAAAGAGTTATTAATGTGCAATGCATATGAAACAATTGAATGCATTCATGACTCCGCGTCCTAATCGAATAATGAAGAATCTACATCCGATTTACGCGAAACGAAAGAATAATTTAAGTAGCTCTCGATCCGATCGATTTCGCAAGAATTCCGATTCGCTGGAGGGTGAAAGAACAATGAAGTCCGGTCTACGTAAGAATGTACTCGTACCTTTATTAATATTCAATTACACAAGTTACACATTCGCGCCGTTCGCATTTTCCTTTTACGTAATGATAACCAAGATCCATGATGACACGATGACTTATCGTAGGCGGTTAAAGAATCGTCCCGAAATTACGCGCGCGTGGCGTCGATGGTACGTCTGGATGACCGAAACGTTGCCGGCCGTGTTTCCGTGCTTCGATCGTTAATATTCCGCACCGATCTCGTTCGAATACCAACAACAACCTCGTACTGAACTTTTCCATGGAAACGTTCAAACGAATTCTTTCCATCAGAGGCACGGAAAGTCTTTTCGCATTCCGAGTCGCTCGATTCACGGTGTTAACGACGAATCGATCGAAATCGAAACTCAAGATCATCGGGAACGTCGATCGATGTGCTCTCTTCGTTATTCACGAAGCTTCCTAATAAACGCGAAGAGTACTTAGCGCTACCTCCGATGCATTAAGCAATAACACGAACAGGTTCGGGCGCAGGCGTTCTAATTCCAATAAGTCCCATTACAACCGATCGCAAACGCTTCCGACCGCGAGGATCGAGAAGCCGGATGAATCTGAATCCAGCGCTATCGCGTCGGTAATCCGTGAAACTAATAACACGAGAAGATCGTTGGACATATCCGAACGCATTCGTGTTACGGGCCGATATTCGAACGATCGTCGGGCAAGAATCATCGCGGAATCCACCGCGAAACGTTTCATCTTGCAGACGTACGGATAAACGTTACCTAAGATGATTACTTCGATAGTTGGTGTGTCTGTGAGCGTGTCTGTAGGCGTGTGTGCGTGTGATATGTGCGAGTGTGGCGGTTCGTGGCGCTGGCGGACACCCAACCCAACACCAATAATGATTCCAGTTAGCCTTACTAATGATAATAGCTCTTTCCCTTTCTTCCCCTCTGATTCTCTCCGATTCTCCCTGATTCTCTCTTTCTGCCATCCACCATTCGATCACGTTTCTTCCATTCTAACTTTAATGCCTGAGATCCCACGCAGACGAGTCCTCACGCTCCTGTAATTATCTAACGAGCCACGAGCGAACAGCCGGATGGTTAATGAGTGATGGGGTTAGCCCGATGATGATGACGACGATGAAAGCTGGCCGAAGGATAGGAGGATCGATATTATTGCACGACGATGTACGCTACGTCCGCCATGCGCCACGGAATGTTCGCGATTAAAGGATCGGGTTTCCGAATGGACCGAGAAAATGCCCCTGCGAGAAATGATCGTCGCCGGGGCTCCCGGCCGGCGGGGAGGGGAGTTCGGTTAATTTCCCTTGAGCAAATTATCATTAAGTCGAACGCCGTGTGCTCGCGTTGATCCTCCTCGTCTCCTGAACTCATTCGGTCCGTTGATCGTTATTCGGATGAACTTTTTTGCGTCCGAGGCTCCTCGACGCTCGATTCCTCCCTTCTGCTCCGGGCGCCTTCAGCTCCGCTCCCTGTAAATCGCTTCTCCCGAGTACCGAGGGACTGCATAAATAATCATTACTGCAACCGACGGTTTAACGTGCCCTCTAGATCCAGCGAAATGAAGGCCGGCTCTCCGAGGAGCTCGAAACCGTCGGGGATCGATCTGAAATGAATTCTCGTCCCACTCCCGGATCGCTTGGATACTCTCCCGTTATCGCTCTCCCGCCGATCGGGGAACCCCGGCGAAAGGGGATCCGATGATCCTCGAATCAGAATGAAAGGATGATCGATGACAAGCGACGAACGATCCCCGACGACGCGTGCGGGGATCGGCCGCGCGACGACACGATATACACAAATGAATAGAACGTAAACGCAAAAATACATCTAGTTGTTTCCATTCCTCGAATCTCTCTCTCTTTCTCTCTCTCTCGTTTTCTCTGTTTCTCTCGTTCTCTCTCTCTCTCTCTCTCTCTCTCTTTCTCTCTTCACTTACTCAACGAATAACGCGACGATGCCTAAAGTGTTTTAAAGCGTTACTTGGACGGAGGATCTAATACTTTGCCGTTGGTGCGCACTTTAATGTTGTACCTGTAGGCCGGTTCCGCCTCTGGCAGGATCGTGCTGCTGTCGTCGTCCTGATCCTTCATCATCGACGGCTCGGCCGCCGCCATTGCGGCCGACCCCGTCCCGGTTGCCAACCCCGCAGCCCCGGCTTCCGGTTGGTCGTTCATGTAGTAGTCCTGCACACTGTCGTACGGGCCGTCGGTGTGGGCGTCCTCTAAACCGGTGTTGGGCGACTCGGTCTCGGACTGGGCCTCGAAGTAGTCGGGAGACTCTCTGTGCTCCACTTTCATCTCGGTGGACGAGGGTCTTAGGGATGAACGGTGCACTTCTCGAGTCTGCAGCCCTTCGAACACGTTGTCCTTTCTGGCTTGAGGGGCAGGACTGTCGGAGAACAGGCTGGTGATGTCCGGCAGGTGGTCTGGTCTGGTATTGTCCAGGCTGTCGGGGTTGGTGGGCTCCTCGTTGTCCTCGGTGACGACGGGCGAGGACGTCGATTGATGATGCTGCTGCTGCTGCTGCTGCTGCTGTTGTTGTTGCTGTTGCTGCTGCTGCTGCTGCTGCTGCTGCTTGTCAGATGCGGAAACGGCCGTGGTGATCAGCCTGCTGACGACCGGGTCTTCAGGTAATTTTTCGTCGACGGTGCTCCCGTGCTCTTCTGGTGTCCCGTTTTTCTCTTCGTCGGTGTTGCCCCCCTGGTTCCCGTCGCTCTTGATCCCGCTGCTTCCATCGTGGTCGTCGACCTGGTCGTCGCTGGCTGGCGCCGAGGTGGTTGTTATGTAGGGTCTGCGATTTCTGGAAATTCGTGGTCCTGGTCTGAACGGGCCTGGTCCTAGAGGTTGATCGGAGACGAAACCATAGATCTTCGAACGGGGAAGGAAGGGCTTCCACCGTTCGCCGGTCGACTTGTTCGGGGTTTGAATTGTTACGGGTCGCGGGGTATGAAACTGTGAGTGGCGTGTGTCTTCTGGTGTCGTCGACCTTTCGCCCGAGCCTCGAGTCTTTAAAACTGTGGGCCTTGAAATCAAGGACTCGAGCTGTTAGGCGGAAACTTCGAACTGCGAATGGTCAAGCGCGTTCATTCTTTCATAGAATCTCCTTTGGTACTTCTGACGTTCGGGTACAACTTTCATAGCTTCAATGTCGCGTATCAAAGCTTCAAAGACTCGAGCTCTCTCCACGACGCTACGTGTCGTGAATGTCAGCGAAGTTAGCCGCGTGTGGTGTTAGAAGCGTTATTATCAATATTATTCGAGTAGTGCGCAGACGCTACTATCCTACAGGGAGTTCCGAGACGCAGCTTCGAACGGAGACAAAGGGAAACGCGTCTTCGCGCTTCCGTCTCATCAGCCTCTGCTTCCCGAAGCTACCTTCAAGCATCGCGAAACACCCTGCAGGCTAAGACATACGATCTCTATCTTCCGAATCTTCAACGAAATCCGCCTTCGATCCACTCCATGATTCAACCGTTAGTAATCCTCCGCAAAGTATACGTCGCTATCAATAAATCATAACCAGTAGCGTCCACTCACTACCGCGACTTGGTGTGTGCGTGTCCGTGTCGCGTGACGTATGCGAGAAGCGAGAGAAGCCATTATTAATTCCAAGCTGCGTATTACAATGTCCTCCGGTCTCGCCCGTGCGAGCCGTCAGTGAAGCTCAAAGTCCCCGAGGACGCCCCGGCGAGAGGGCGTCCCCAAAACTACCCCAACATCTATCCGATACTCTCTTATTCGATTCACATGATCCCAGAACATAAGCGTTATCATCGACCGTTATCCTTTACGCTCGCACGGAGAAAAAAGAACCGGCCAGCGATAGCGTACCGCGAACGACTACACCGTCCCGTTCCGCCATCCGAACTCCCCGGAGAATCTCGCGCGCGTATCTCGCGTCTTTAATTATCGCGGGCTTATCTGTCCGCGCGACATCTTCATTTGCATGCGAAACGGTTCGCGAAAACGCGAGTGCGCGCCGCCGGAACCGGTGAAATCGTAATCGATGTTACGGCTGCGGGGATACGTTCACCGTACATCGCCGAGCCGGCGATCGTCGCTGCGTGGGCCGACGATATTGCCAATTATCACCCCGCTACCACGTCAAACGGCTATCTTATCGGCCCCTCTACCGTGTACGAATCTTTTTTGTCCGTGCGCTCGTCGAGAGTTTCACCTTGGAGAGAACACGTCGGGGTCCGCCGACGGGACCGTCCGACACCGTGGTTCCCAACGTGGCCCGCGAGCCCCACGGGGCACCGTTTCACCTTTAACCCTTTCACTACTGTTGGCGAGTAAAACGCTCGGAAAACTTGCGATACTGTAGCTCGTAAATATTTACTAGATCGAAAGATACATCGCGGAGAAAATGAATGTTAATGGTAAGTTTTTAGTATGTACGCTAACAGTTCAACGCAGAATACAAGGATATGAGTGTACTTAGAAATGCACAGCTAAGTTTCGCCGTTCTCTCGCGACTGAATTTCTACTCTGCTTCGCGTCGGTTCGTATTGTTCAACGAATTTGAAAAAGTTCTTAGCGATCTCGATGCTTCGACAGTCTTTTATTCATTCGTCTTTCTCTATGCAGGTTCTTCGAAAGTTTAGACGAAAGAAATATATAGGAAATTTGAATAATAATCTTATAGAAGCATCAGGATTCCAGAGACGCTCACGCGTGGCACAGCCGAAAGGAAGTTGGGAACCACTGGTCTAATGTGTCCTCTCTCCCCCACTCTCCCCCTTTCTTTCTCTCTCTCACCGTCTCGGCAGTTTCGTGTATTTCTTTTGTGACCAAGTATTATCTCACCTCTTACCCCTGAGTCGCAGAGACTGGAATGCTGCCGTAGTTGTAGTAGTAGCATCTTGTCTGCTCGCAAATGAAGTCCTTAACCAGGGTGCAGTCCTGCGCCTCCCAGGCTAACGTCGGTGCCACCATCGCGACGCATCCGTCCGCGCTGCCGCTGTCGCCGCTGGAAATCACGCGAGTTCCGGATCTGAATTTAAATCACATACACGCCGCGTTCTCTCTTTCCTTTGCACGGTTCACCGATTCGACGCACGTGTTTCCGGGTGGGGACGCGATCGCGCGGAAGGGGCAACACGGATAATTGCCGTCCGTGACGATGAATCGGCCGGGGCCATTGTCTCCGTCAAGACGGGGGACTCGGCTCATCCCTGCGCGCAATCTTTATTCGACTCCGGACAAGCGACTTCCGGTTCCCGAGAGACTCCTGACCCTTCACGGTCGCGCGGCTTCGGGGACAGGTGCGACACCCTCTTCGGGCAACTGGTCGCACCTTCGTGATCGGTTCGAAATGGTCTTCGGCTAGGAGACAAGCTCTTTTTCTAATTATTCAATGGGGACTGTTGTTAATTAGCACTCCAGATGGTTTTGTAATTTATCAGCAACTGCGACTAATTTTGCGATAAAATCCCTTCGAACTTTTACTTCCTTTCTCAGTACAAAATTTCGATGTGTGGAAAATCGAATAACTTTAAGGCAGTCCCTTTGATTCGTTAAAATATTCGATATTATATCTGCTGCAATATCGGAGCCTACAGAGTTCAAAGGGTTAACATTCTTTCGTTACCATCCGAATACGTTATACCATTTCAGAAGCCGAGACATGAATTTCATCGATGTTCTCTGGAATTAACCGTATTATCTAATATCTCGATTGCCTGTTTCTCGTGCCAGAACTAAGTGGTTAAGCTACAATCGAATGCACGAAATCAAATATGTGGAGGTATCCTGGAAGAGGTTAGTGCGTCGAAACGGTTTTTCGGGATGAAACGGCTGCCATATGTTTGATAGGGGTTTGTTACCTTTCGCGCGCTACCCGTTGAGGCTCGGTGCCCGGCGGCACGTCCGCGGGTCTGTTGCCAGGTCGCCTCAACATGTAGTCGAAGGTGGCGTTGAACGGCAGCCCCGTGCTCATCCAGAGGAACATGTCCGTGCCCAGCTTGTTGCCCGACGTCCAGAAGTCGTACTTGACGTAGCCGGCGTTCTTCAAGTACTGCGTCATCGTGTCGGCCTTCTCCTTGGTCTCGAACGAGGCGAGCTGCAGGCCGAGCGAGCGACAGTACTGGTACGCCAGGAAGTAGTTCAGCTCCGGGCTGTACGGGTTCATCCTCGAGACGAAGTACTGCACGCCGTCCAGCTGGATCGTCGTGATCCTTTGAGCTGCAAATTGCTCTCAATTGACACGTGGCCTGATTCCGCTTGGTTACATGTCGCGTCTGCCGGCTATAATTGCCGAGTTTCGTCGCGTTTCGATGGAGTTGCGTGTTCTATAGCTCTTGCATTCCGAATTCACCGATAATTCACGTTTTGCAGATATATCGGACGTTCAATATTTTTGTGTTCTGGGATAATCTAGTACTTGATTCGCAAAAAGAATTTGGAGCGCAGAACCTATGTACTTCAGTTGTTTTGAAGAAAAAACTTACTCGGTATAAGAATGACGTGGTATATAACAAAGGTTTAAGTTCTTTGAATTATAATTGAATTAGATAAGTTAATTTTATAGACAAATGCGAAGAATGAAGTATAGAAACAGTAATTTCGGTTAAACTTGGAAGAATATCAGTTAGGAAAAACAGTTACGGTAATTTCAATGAATGTTTCCTTTCAGACACTCTCGTCATTATTCATGCACATATATATTCCCGTCAGTCGTCCGTGCCGTGGCGAGGATCTATACAAGTGTCCCGTCGATTCATAAGGCACAAAAGCGATCGATCGAACGCCGTGACGGCTGAATAAAGAAGGAAAATTCCTTTCTCGTTCCCGTATTATCTCATCGAGGCACGTCTCTCTACCGTTGACTTCCGACCGGCCCGCAAATGGCAGTCCGAGACGCGGGAAAAATCATCCCGTGAATTCTAATCTACCCGGTGTCCCATTTCAGCGTCGGACCGTTACACCGCGGCGACCGTCGAACAATCGCGACGTTTCATTCTCGGAGATGCAAAAAGCGAATTGCGGCTCGGCCCAATTGGAAAAGTTCCCACTTGCGTTTAATTGTCTATCGAATCATTTGTCCCCCGCCATCTACGGGCACGATGGCTTCCGTTCCTAGTTTCTTTTGTCATGCAATTAACCGTCCAATCCTCAGACCTTCCTCGATTTCTAATTCCCTAACGATTCCCACCTTTTTAACGCTATTACGCTCGACTTTTTCACCGTGTGCTCGATTCTTCTGAAACATCCATCTTTGAACTCGAGAAACATATATTCAAACCATAACATTTAGAACACATAAACCCAGAACCATATTAATCCTTCTATTACCAAGAGAAATTTGCTCTATACTTCAAATCTACTAATACTCAAAATTCTGTTTAAACAAAACTATAAATTTCTATGTAAATTTCTATCTATAAAATTCTATCTAAATAAAACTCCGAATACTGCATCATCCTCGAACACAATTTTCTCTATTACCCATTCATTCGAGTGCAATCTCTTCGAGTCCGAATAAACCTCCGAAGAAATGCTTCATTATCCCGAACATAGCTACATAACTTCCCGTAGTGTACACTTTGCATTTAAATGCATTCCCCCGCGGAGAATGCAAATAATCTGAAAAAATACTTGAACGGTGCGAGGGTCAAGCGTTCGCCATGGGAACCGCGAATTGTTTACGGAGCCGGGTCCGCCGCGGACGCGTGCGCACACCACCGAACGATTCTCTCCGTTAACGCGATTTTAATTTGCCCCTGCGCTGTGCGCGCGTAGACTTCGCCGCTTCTGGCCGGCGAGAGAATGCTCTTCTCGCGGTGTCGGTGTGTTCGCACGATCCGCGCGACCGGGAGAGAGGGTTCGTTGAACTTGTACGGTTATTTGGTTAACAGTACTCATGAATTATGACCCGTTTAGACCCCCGAACAGCCTCGAGACAGCCTCTCCCTATTAATTTCTGGCCGCCGCGCAGAAAACTGGCCTCGCAGTTCGCCTCGCCGGCGAAATTTATGCGCGGACCAACGACCCGCCGATCATTCGGACTCGTCGCCTCGTTAAAACGTTCTCGGTCCACGGACGCGCTCCTCCCCGATCGAGAGAATCGTTCGCTGTACACGACGTTTACAAGGGTCGAGCGAAATAAATGAAATACTGGACGCGCGAGTCGTTAGAAGATACATAAATCGCGCGTTCCGTAAGTGAGATTGATAATCACGTTTGAAGGTTTTCGTATAGAAAATGATCCCGTAACTTCAATTTTCTCGGTGTACAGGTTGGCGACTTTGAATCGAGTATCGCTTGCTTTCATTCGATTAACAGCAAGTTGTTACAGGGCTTCGCGAATTATTGATAATAAAATTGAGGAAACTAGGAAGATTAGAAAATATAAAGGTTCTCCTTTACATAAAAGAGAACGAGGATTGAAACGAATTATTAGGAAATGGTTCCTATCGAGATATTGAGTTGCATTCGTAAATTATTGATGATAAAATTAAGGAGACTAGTAGGATTAGAAAATATACAGGTTCTTCTTTATATAAAAGAGAACGAAGACTGCAACGAATTATTAGAAAATGGTTCCCGTTGAGATATTGAGTTGCATTCGCAAATTATTGATGATAAAATTAAGGAGACTAGTGAGATTAGAAAATATAGAGGTTCTTTATATAAAAGAGGAAGAGGATTGCAACGAATTATTAAGAAATGGTTCCTGTCGAGATATCGAGTTGCATTCGATGCCAATTCTCTCGATGAACTTTCGCATCGTTTTGTCGAATCTTCTGTCGATGGTTTTTTTAGCGAGATACGAGGGGAAATACAGGAAACCGTAGGTGTGAGAAACTGTGAGACTAAACGCGCAGTGCAAACGACTCGAGGAAGTTGCGCGCGAGCGAGCACGAGCGTAGGAAATAAAATCACGCAGCGGGAGAACCCTCGAGTAGGGTGCATCTGGTGTAAAAATGTTCCGGATCGCGGAGCTGGCGGCGCAGGTGGTGGTAAACGACCTGAAGGCCTTGAGACGTCTGCCGCCAGTGTTCCCGCGAAAGAAGACGCCTGCTAGACGCCACGGGCTCGCGATTACATTCGAGAATTATGCCATTCCTGGCCGCAATTAAACGGCCGGCGATGCCAGCAGTGTCGACGTTCGTCGAATATCTTCCATCGGGACGGTTAAAAATTGCTGGTAGCTTGCTATCCCTGTTTAAAAGCTAAAGTTAAGGTTTACTGCTGGGTTCAATGTCGAAAGGAATGCGGATCGAAGAGTGTTCCATGTAGAATAATGTGTTTGGAATTTAAATTTCATTTTTGTCGTGTCGTCGATTGCCGAATGATCGTTGCAAGGTTCGAAGTGAGACTTTCTTGTAAAAATACACGAAGCTGTGGAAGTATACTGCTAGAGGATCTCGAAAGAACGATCGAGAACAAACGAGTGGATCTCCAAGTTAGAGTTGAATATAAAAATATGAATTCTAAACAATTCGATTTAAAGTTGCATAGAATTTCAAATATAAATCTCTCTTTAATCTATTGGATAAACGATGTTTGGATTAACCGAAGTGAAGATTACGTTCTAAAAATAAAGTACACGGAGCAGTTGGAGTCGACTGTTGGAGCGTCTCAAAGGAACGATCGAGAACGACGGACAAACGAGTTGATTTTGAAGTCGCGCATGCGATCAGCGATCGCGCGCGTTTCCTCTTGAGCCTTTTGAATGCACCGGACGTCGGGGCAGGCGTTTAGCCGGCGAAATAAGAGTACGAGGAGCGAGACCGAGCCGGACAAAGGGAAGCCAGGAAACATGGAAAACATCGGTGTACACGGATTCCACAACACTGGCCAAGGATCAACGAGAGGGATCCTTCAAAGAAGAAACATTCCTCTTGGCGGAGCTCCAACGAGGGAAGTCGTCTCTCTTAAACTAATTGAGCTAAGAACCGGTGAGCAGACAGAGACGTTCCCCTCGAGCTAATTCGAATTTGTACTGTTGACTTTGGATCGGCGCGACCGATTCGATGGGACAGAGACCTTCGGACGAATGACGAAGCAAATCGTTATTCGATGTCCAAGTTCCATTTGAATCTAGTATTGCCAATGATTTTCTATAATACAAATATAACCCTCCATTGCTGAGAGGACGAAGGTTGAAAACTAGCTTTTGAAATTATCAACGAATCGAGTCATTATGCTACAAGGAATCAGTGAGAGAATTTAATTGAAAAATTGAATTGACTGCTTGGGTAGAGTACAAATTTCGAATGTTTGTAGCTGAATCTCTTGAAATTCAGAATTCGTTCACCACGCTTCATCTCGCGAAATAAAAGAGCCGAGGCACACTGTTCGTAATAGCTGTCCGTCCCACCACGGTCGCTCCAGACTAATGACATTTGGCAGCTCGGAGAGTGGGGCGGGCAGCAATTGCGACTGTCAATGCGCTTCGAATCTCTTTCGCGAATACCGAACACCAGTAAATTCCAATTGAACCTGACTCTACTCCTCGATACAGCATCCTGCTTCAACAAGTGGGGCTAGATTTCTGGCGTTCTCTACACCGGTAGGACCATTCTAATTTGTCGAACGAACACGAGAAACCAACTAAATAAAACTCGAGCAAGCGAACTCTTCGAAGCACAGAAGTTTCATATACAGAGACTCGAGTTAAAGCTGATTCAAAGAATATAGAAATACTCCGAGTGCTTCGAAGCGTCCACTCGTCATCCCTTAATTAACCCCTTGCCGTGTAATCGCCGAGCGAGTCTCGTCGATGCTACCCATCACGCGAGAATCGAAGTAAAATAAAATATTTCGTTACGATCGGTGTACAGCTATCAGCTCGAAAATAAATCTGCACTTACAGTGAACAGCGAAATATCGGAAGCTCGGTGAAAAGTAACATTCGCGGAGGAGAATGCCACGGCAAGGGGTTAAAAGGTGCGAGTTCGGGTACAGGTTGAAAGGTACGAACCTGAGGCGAAGGCCGCGACGGCCAGCAGCAGCAGAGCGATCTTCATGTTGCCGTGTGCGTCGATTAATCGATCAAGCAGCCGTTTCCGTTTCCGACTCTCGGAATACACCGGATGTTAGTGTTAGGGTCGCGTTCTCGGACTGGCCTCGCGCTGCGCCGTGGGCCCCCTTAAGAGTCTTCTGCCCGGATCCCAGAGGAGGGGGTCGTTGAAGATGATTCACTGGCTAACCTAGAGCAGGACGAGCTCGAGCCCACGAAGGGACGCGGGCACGAGCGGGACGGCGAGAAAGAACGTCGACTGGGGATACGAGAGAGCCGAACCGATCCGAAATGTAATCGACTTCTTCTCTTCTTCTTCTTCTTCTTCTGCTTCGTCCTCTTCGTCTTCTTCGCCTGCTGTTTCTTCTTCTTCTTCTTCTTCTTCTTCTTCGCTCGTTCGTCCGCTGGTTCCTCCGCTTCGCCGTTCCTTTACGGTTGGCCAGCAGCGAAAAAACGCGCCGCAAGGTGACAAGGCCGGGAAAAAAGAGCAGGAGAGAGACGGAGAGACACGTCCACAATGGACGTCGACGGTAACGTGTAACGTCCGAGAGGATGATGCAGTGCGTTCGTTGACACGGGTCCGGCGCACCGCTTGAACTTTGCTCGCCGGTGTCGAGGAGGCTTCGCCTCGCGGATCGTCCGACCGAATCGAGAGGACGGCTCGCTTCGGCCGACCCGGGACCAGCCGCGATTATTTTTCGGAAGGGACAAAGGGCTCTTAGATTCCGCGTTGATCGCCGGTGTAACGAGGAGCGATTATTTATCGTGAGATCGCGGTTGACGCTTTGACTGCCACGTCACCTGAATTCGGCTGACACTGTTTTTACGTGAATTTTAACATTTTCTTAACGCATCGAACGAACTGAGTTTCATTGGATGTATAGGATGTTAGGATGGCAGAGTAATCGTTACGAATCTCGACTTTGCAGTTGCTTTATTAAGGAAAGCGACGAGTGTTTAATTAGCAGAGTCTCAAGTATCCCTTGCGATCTGGATATCTCGAGCTCGGTTGCTCGCGAAGAATCGTTTGGATACTTCGATGGTACTGGAACACGATCGAATTATGCAAACGCGAAGTTCTTTTCGAGCCATTTACATGGACTGCTCTAATTAGATAAGGTCCGGTATTTTGTCTTCGTACCTACTCCAAAACGTGTTCTCTCTCCTTTTCGAGTTTCTCTGAATGAAAGCTTCCATCGGAAGGATAGAAGCTGAGGGTCCGAGCCTCGAGCCAGGATCGCCGCCGAGTATACGCGCGGTGTTTTGAGAAGGCGCGCGAAAGATCCGCGCGCAGCCAGTTTACGAAGCGAGCACGGAGATCGTTTGTTGGCCGAACCCCGCGCTCCAATCTATTTGGAGTGGCGGTGCACGCTATTAATAACGTAGGTCCTGTCATTTAGTTTGTTTTACGCCGTGGCGTACGCGCCGGAATCTCTCCGGCCCCGGCGGTCCCTTCACGGGCTTCATCGTCCTCAATGGAATCGTATCGACGCAGACCCGCAAAAAACGACGCCGACCGTCAAGGTAGACTTCATTTCTGAGCGTGCCCCGCGAACGCGGCGGACGTGCCGCATACCATCCCTCAAAATCTGCGTGCCGACGTCGTAAACGATGTCGTCGGCGGGCAATTAGCGACGTGGCTTATCGTCGCTCGCCGGCTGTCACGGCTGGGCGACGCGAGGACTCGAGTCGCGGCTCGCGGATATTCGGAAAATCGACGTACGAGGGTGGCTCGAGAGGTGAAGCGAATCCGAACGACTTTTCGTTTATGGCTGCAGCGTTCTCAGTCTTCGCGACGTCCTTTTACAGTTTCATTGCGCAGAGCATGATTGCTCGACGAATCGTCGAGCACGCCGTGTAGGCTGCAACGAGGTACGGTAGTGCCTCGGCGATACGAAAGATCGTTGGCGAGGCATTGTCCGATCGTCGCGCGTCACACGGTCGCCACGCATGATCGGCTGAAAAATATCGACGAAGAGCATGCGTCCAGCAACGACTCGAGTCTACTATCGAGACACCGGGCTGATCGCGCGGAATTTTTCCCTGGTAACCACTGAAACGCTCCGCACACCGGTTGTAACGTCATCGCCTCTGCGCCGAGCGGAACAACGTGTCCCATCCGATTTGTCCGGACATCCAGCATAGAAGACGAAGGGGCACAAGAAGAAGAAGAAGAAGAAGAAGGAAAAGAAGTTGACTCGTGCTACGAGTCGGTCCGACGTTATAAATTCCATCGTCCGCGCGTTAATTACTCGAGAGATGAAGCCCCAGAGCCGCGCGCGGTCGCTCTCGCGCAAAGTTCTCGCGGTGCATCACGGGGAACGATCCCCGTCGCGTCCAATATATTGCGCGGTGGAATCGAAGGCGACCGGCGACCGGCGCGGCTGCGGCCGCGGCTGCGGATTCACCGTGAAAGTCGCCGGCGCGCACCGTGCCGGGTGCGCCGCGCGAGGAGGTTTGAACCGGTTCCCTTGTTAAGCCTTTGGCGCCGTCTATTCTTATTCCCCGGTCTTTCCGTTGCTTAGTTTTTTCCCTGCTGGCATTGACCGGCCCACCACCGTCATCCCCGCCCTTCTCCCGACCATGGAACCCTTCCCCCCGAGCCCCCATTAACGGAGGTGGTATCTTCGGACGGTCTTGAAAAGAAAACGCTGCGCTCGCGATCGTTTCGCAATCGTTTAAAACATCATATCCCGACCGGCCGCCGGATTTTTCCTGCGCCGCGGTTTAATGCGCGGTCTGCCGTGCCCGGGGGTGCGCGGGGCGCTCTGTCCGAGGAGCGTTCACGGTCCGCGCGCTCCGGCGGCGTTAATTATCCCAATCTCTCCGGGGCCCGCCGCGCCGGCTCTCTTTCTCTCTCTCTCTCCGTCCCCGGGGTTTTGCGCGGGGACCGCCATTACGATAAACGCGAGATTTCCAGGTATCTTCCCTCTCGTAACGAACGATTTTCATCCCAACGGCCGCGCAACCCGATCGATATTAGCGCCCGTTAATGCATCGCGAGGAAGACCGACCGCCTCCTGCCCGTCCGGCGCGCGGCCCTCGCCCGTCTCCTGTCCGATGGGATTCCAGGTTGCGAGAGCGTGTTCGTTGCAGGCCTTAGGTGCTCCTCCGCGCGCCGGGACCGTATCGACAGCGGCCTGCCCGCAAAAAGGCTCCGTGTCTCAAGGTAGGCTTCATTTCTGACCGCTCGCGTCTCTTCTCGCTCACCGGAGATCACCTGCTCCTCCCGCGGACACGCACGTCCTCTACCGCGCTCGGCTTCTCTGCGCAGGAGGACGCGAAGCTGACCCTACGCCTCGCTTCGGGTACCGTGTAAACGCGACCGGAGGGGAACCGTGTTTCTTACTTCTCGACTGGAAATCACCGGGTTGTTACTGTATTACCTCTAGGAGTTGGACGATCTTGGTATACCGATTGCGGAGATCTCTTCGTTTGCTGTAGATCTGTTTGGAGGATGGGAGCTAGAGATTAGGTGATTAAAGTCTCCAGAGTCCGATCAGGTTCGAGTTATGTTCGGTAGGAAGAGAGATGCACGCTCGGCTGAGCTTTGTTAGATGTAACCATGGGATTCAGCGCGTTCCATTGTTACCGGTTAGACGACGCGGCACCCTATCCCTGCGAGTTCCTTCATCTCGTTCCGATCTCCCAGCGACATCCTGTAACATCGCGGGATCGACGATCATACACACGCGTTATTTCTGTGGCGTGTGCGAGCCGGTCGGTGCAAAAAGGACGTCTCGCGTGACACCCGAGACCCACCGCGCGGCTCTGCCTCGCTCTCTGTCTCGCCAGCGATCGACGTTTCGCGACGTCGATCCCGATCTCTCGGAAGGGAGACGCGCCACCATTTTCAGCCGGCTCGCTCGTGTGTCGCTCGCTGTTATCGATCCGATTTAGGTGGACGATAACTCGACGAGACAGGTTTGCGCCGCGGGAAACGGAATCACGGGAGCCGCAGCCGTGTGCTTTATCACGGAACACCGACACCTTGTCGATCGTAAATAGAAACGAGTAATTGCGCCCGAACCGGCGCGCCGTGAGAATCGTACGTGGGTTTGAGCGCCGGTGCCTTCTTCCGTGCGATCGTTTCTATCTTTAGGCCGCTGCGGAAGGTTCCAGGACTTCCGCAGCGAATTTTCTGGACACCTCGTCGTCCAGCGTCGAATCCTCGTACCGACGCTTCGTTCCGCCGCCTCTCCTGCCGATCCTAGCTCGAATTTACTACGACGAGGCGGTTCGTTAACAAACAAGGCAGGCTTATCGGTGGTGGCCGACGCGAAGAACGAGGAGCAAAAGGAAGGGAAGAAGCTCGGGATGACGGTACAGAGTCTACTAGGTGCGCACACCAGCGAGGAGGCCGTGGCTGGTTGCGTGGGTCACGTTTTGCTGGTACGTTGGCGCAGGTCAGTTTAGCAGGTCGGATTCCCAGCGACGCGTGCATTCCCATGGGAATGCGGTCCGAGAGACCGCGGCCGTCTTGCCCTCTCCTGCTCCCTCTTTAGCAGAGAGAGTGCCGTGTGTGCACTTAGAGTATATACAGGCAATGCCTACGGGGGTCTGGTTCGTGGCCATATATCGGCGGGCGAAACGAAAGCAGAAGCTCGATCCTGGATAAACAAGCGATCCTCCACCACCTACCTTCGCCCGTTCCTTCTCCGTCCCAGCGGCCCTCGCGTCTCGGTCCTCTTCGCGCATACGGGACGCTAGAAACAACTTCTCACAGCCGAGCCAAGGGACTCGGTCCTTTTTTTGCGAAAACAAAAGCAACGAAATGCCAGGCACTCGAGAGCTCCGGGCATCGCCGGCTGCTGGACGGAGAACCAGAAGAAGCGGGGGAAGAAGGAGAAGAAGAAGAAGAAGAAGCAGCAGGAGAAGAAGAAGAAGAAGAAGAAGCAGAAGAAGAAGAAGAGGAGGAGGATACGAAGGAGGTGCCTCGCGGAGGAGGCGAAGCGAGGGAGCGGGAGGATGCTACAGGAGGATTCTCGAGGTCTATTTCAGGCCCTGCCAGCAATCGCTATGTAAGGCCCCCGTTCTTTCTATCTTTCTCCCTACTCCCCGGGGAACGGGGTCCTCTGTTCTTCTTCGCGTTCGCTCCCG